CTGTTTGAATGAGTGCCTCTTGGTCTATGTACAGTTTTCTTGTAAGCACAATGAAGTGTTCTGGAATTTCCGTTCTTCACAATATTATCAATAATTTTTTATGATCCACACAGTTGAATGCCTTTGCATACTCAATAAAGCACAGGAAAGGATTTTTTCCTGATGGTTTTTCATTTTTTTCCTTCTAATACATTCCTATGCTTTGGCTGCATTTTTATCTTTGGGTTCTATGACAAGAATACATTTCCCTTCTTTTTCCTTAAATGAAGTGAGGTTGGTTTATATTTCTTGTATCTAATGTATTAAACAAATGTCTTTAACTATGAGGATGAATGTCATGCCTGATGATATACCAGCTCAACCCACTAGCTCAATACTTACAACTCCTGGCATTTTACTTTCCTCTCTTTCCATGTGGGTATTTACAGTAGCATATAGAGCTAGGCTGTCACACAACACTTAACCAGTAGAGTCCACAGTAAAATAATATATTTTATAGTCTGGAAAATTTTAAGATTAATGATTCAGTTACAGTAAGCTCAAGTAGTACCCTTATTTTTCAATACTATCATTTCCAAATTGTATAAAATGAATTTAATTTAAATAAAGAATGATAAAAGTATTATACATGTCAGAAACATATACCTATACTAGGGTTGTCTGGTAAAGTGCATGCTGTTCAGTAAAAAACTGAATTTAAGATAAATATTTTTTTTATAATATGAGTATGCCCAAAATATTACATGAGACATGTACACAGGATAATATTACATGGAACAAATAATTTCTTAATATTTTTTTTCATTTGCTGTATCTGGCAACTCAGACTTAAAGGTAAAATAATTAATTTAGATCACTCTTACCTGTGTTTTTGGTGATGTTTTCTCTAGGGATATTAATTACCCAGTAAACCTGATCACTGAACTTGAATAAAGAAGAAATCAGAAAACAATGTTTTACTGCACTTATAGCAAAGCTTGTGTCATTCTACATTTTTTTAAAAAGAAGATTTGACAAAAACATCCAATTATTATGTCACATATCTTTGGATAACTTGTCTTGTTTTACGGCCAATGTCGTTTTTTCTTATAAACTCCAAAACCGAACCCACTGCCATCGTGTCAGTTCCAACTCATAGTGACTCCCTTTGGGTTTCCGAAGTGGTAAATCTTTATGGAAGTAGACTGCCTAGGCTTCCTTCTGCAGAGTGGCTGGTGGGTTTGAACCGCCAACCTTCTGGTTAGCAGTCAAATGCCTTAGGCACTACGCCACCACAGCTCTTTTTTTTACTTATAGCCCTATGTTATTCCAGAAAGCCGTGGGCTATCTTTCAAAGATAGATGTAATAGAAGATGATGACAAATTTCAAACAGACCAGAAGAAGTGTAGCAGAATCAATTTAACCAAAAACCAAACTAACTGCCTTCGAGTCAGATCTGACTCATAGCGACCCCTCCTTGGGTTTCTGAGGCAGTATCACTACGGAAATAGATTGCCCTGTCTTCCTTCCGAGGAGTGGCTGGTGGGTTTGAACCGCCAGCCTTCTAGTTAGCAGTCAATGCCATAGGCACTATGCCACCAGGGCTCCCAGAATCAATTAATGTGGGAGAAAAAAAAAAAAAAAAGAAAGTGGAGTCGATATGAAGCGGTTAGCAAAATGCATGCCAGAACATTGTATACACTTGGAAGAGGCAAGGGAATGATTTTCTGGTATTGAATGGGATCCTCTCCTGATGAAAGTCCAAATGCTCACTTCAGTGATGGTTTGTAACACCAGAAATGGCAAGAGGGTTTTGATGGTCCGATACACTGGCAATGCCCCAGCTTTCTGTGATTTGGACCAATCCCTACTCAGTCTCTTCTGCTTCACTCTTCTACACAGTCTCCACATATAATAGTTTTATACTTGCTAGTTGCCAAAATCACATGGATTCTATTAATTTATTGTTCATTTCCTAGACTTAACAGATTGGATAAACACATTTACTTCACTAAGCAATGAAAGAAAAGGAGAAAATACTCAAGAATAACAAAATTAAGTCAAAATTTAAAAGTCATTTATATTCGGCACTTTACTCCTGTTCATGCTCCCTAAGTATTAGCTAAAGTGTAATAGTATTAACAAGCATGAACAGTTAAGGGATGAGTAGATACCAGACCACTGGGAGGGTGGAATGAAGGAAATGAGAAGATTCCTTCAATGTTCCTGTGTAGCTGATACATAGCAGATGTCAGGGCAGCAGGATGAATTTGAGGAAATTGACACATCAATGTCAATTGATGGAAATAGAATGTGTGAGGTCAGTGAATGCAGGGCATTTGTACGGGTCACTGGGACTTTATGAAAAGACAGGGCAAGTACAAAGGAAAAATAGAGTGTGGTGTAGAATTCAGATTCTGAGATCAGAGTGCCTGGGTTTAAATCTTGCTTAATCTAATCTTAGCTATGTGACATTTCCACCCCTGCTGATGAGTTGATTCCACCTTGTAGTGACCCCCCATTGGGTTTCCAAGGCTCTAAATCTTTACGGAAATAGATTGCCTCATCTTCCTCCTGCAGAGCAGTTTGTGGGTTTGAACTGTCTACCTTCTGGTTAGCAGCCAAATGTCTTACAGATGACACTTCACAGGTACCTTAACCTCTGTGTACCTCATCTTCTTCGTTTGTAAAGTGGGAATAACAATACTACCTACTCCCTAGGGTTATTATGAAGATTAAATGAAATCAGATTCAGCTCTAAGAACAGTGTTTGGCACTAACTATATGGTAGCTGTTCCTATAGTTGCTATCATAGTTATTGTTATTCTGTGAATACCAACAATATGAACTGATGACCAGGTAAAGTTTTATCAAATGGAGTGCAATATCCAACTAAGGGTGATTTGCACATGATACATTCCCGGTTGCCCTGGTAACTGTTTTCATTCCCCAGACTCTAACATTATAATGAAAAGAGAGGAAAACATACACAGAGGTGTTTTGTTAGCACAGCTCTCTCTTCTTACTATTGCTTATACACACCTTTATGGGGTAGATAACCCCAGAATGGGTCGGGAGGGTATGGAAAAGAAGACAACAATACACATTCAATAGACTGTGTATGAACAATTCTATCTGTTAATACAGATGCAAAAGCTGTCAATAAAAGTTTAGCAAGTAGAATTCAAGATGACCTTATCATATCTGACTAAGTTAAGGAAAGAAAGCATAGTTTTAGTTTTAAAATCTTTTAAATCATTAACAATATTGATGATCAAAAGAGAAAAACCATTTATAATTATACAGATCCTGAAAAGGCATCAGATAAAATCCAACATTCAATTTTCTCTTAAAAATTGAAATAGATGAAATTTTCTTAACATAAAATCTAATAAACAGCTCACAATTCAACAGTACACTTAATGAGGAAATCCTGAAAGTATTTTTATTAAGGTCAGGAATGACTTTCCTACAATGATAATTTAATATTATTGTGGAGTTAACTAACCAATGCAGTACCTTCATAAGAGAAGCAGCTGCATTCATTAGAAAGTTCAGCAAGGTTGGTGGAACTAAATTGCTGTTAGGTGCCATCGAGTCAGTTCCAACTCATAGCAACCCTGTGTACAACAGAACAAAACACTGCCCTGTCCTGCACCATCCTCACAACCTTTGCTATGTTAGAGGCCATCACTGCAGCCACCGTGTCAAACCAGCTATTGAGGGACTTCCCCCTTTTCACTGACCCTTTCCCTTTACTAAGCATGATATCATTCTCCAAGGAATGGTCCCTTCTAACGACATGACCAAAACACATGTGATCAAGTCTGACCATTTTTATTTCTAAGGAGCTCTCCAGCTGTACTTTTTCCAAGACAGGTTTGCTTGTTATTCTGGTGGTCCGTGGTATTTTCAATATTCTTTGCCAACATCATAATTCAAATGAATCAATTCTTCCTTGGTTTTCCTTATTCCTCATCTAGCTAGTTTTTGAATTATCTTCAGCAAAATTTTACTTACGTGTGATATTAATGATACTGTTCGATAATCTCCACCCATAACAACAACAACAACATAAGGAAGAGTATTCTTCTTATTAATAACATATCACTGAATAAAATAAAATGCAATTACCAAAGTTAAATTAAAGTGGAAGATGCCAGTATAGGTACTATTTATGATTTCCAAAGTGGGAGCAAGTCCTCCTGATGTAAACACACTTAGAATTTCCCTCGAAGTAACCTCATCTTCAGTTTGGAAAAAACACCGGATTTCCTTTAGGAAAGAGGAAAAAAGCCAGTAATAACAATTAATTTGGTAGACAGAAGAATATCCTACTAATCTAAAAATGAAGAGAAATCTGTGGAAAGCAGTTGCTGCTACAGACTGTTATTTTTAATAATTCCAAACCGTGGCTAGAAAAAAAAAATCTATTTAAAATGGTCCCTTTCAGAAATCAGTAACCTATTACTTTATTGTCAAAATAGCTGTCAATTGAATCGTTATAATAATCTTTTCTTCTCTCACAGAAATAGGTATAAAGTTATAATGTTTAATAAACAAAGCATCAAAACACATGCTATTGCATGTAAAAATTCCCATTTTATTGAAATCATTATTTTGTGTCTAAATAACAAGAGAAATAATTATATAAACCATTTTTTACAGCATTTTATTGGCTATTTCCCTATTTTGATAAAGTATATAAAAGCACAACCATCAATAATAGTGGCTTTAACTGAAAATCAACATGACACAGATCGTAAGACTTTGTCTCATTTAGTTCTAACGGTTGAGGTCACTTTTGGCAAGGTACCTACCTGAGCTTCAGTATCTGTAGCTACAAAATGGAGAAGCACATTCATTTCAAAAATATTTACTGAGCCCTTACTGCCAATCAGTTGCTGAAGACACAAAAGTGAACAAAAGACAAAAATCCCCCCCCACCAAACCCTCACAGAACTTACACTGTAGTGGGGCTGGCCACGAGACAGACTACGTGGATAGACAGACAGAACAAAGAAAGAAAGAATAAAGTGTAAGAAGAAAAACAGGACTGGGAGATCAGGAGCAGAGGGGCTGGACAGGGAGGTGTGATTTTTAATAGGGCTGTGAGGGCAAGACCACAGCAGTACTTACAATAATGGTACTTACCTCACAGAAGATTGAAGTTCACAATGAACAAAACGCTTTGAACAATGCCTGATACACACAAATGCTTGACAAGGTGAGCTATTATTGGTACTAATACCACTACTACAATTGCAACATCACTATTTTTAAAGGTGGACTGTCATTCCCCTTTCAAGAGGATAGAACAGAAGACCAGAGAGCTCCGGTAACTCCTAGGGCACACAGAGCACTAATGGCAGGAGCAAGATTGGACACCAGCTCTGCAAGCCTGTCTCCCTGCAAAGCCCATTCTTCTTCCAGAATATAAAGTCACAAATATGAAAGGTACTTTTGACTTTAGGGCATGCGTTTCAAACTGATGTGAGTGAAAGAAGAAAGAAATATATGTTTGGCGTATTAAAAAGAAACTGGGACTAAAGGAAAGCAGATTTGGGCATAAACCCGTTTGTCCTCATGGAGTATTGCTCTTTGTTTTTATTATATTTATCATAGATCTGTGGGCAATTTATACACTTTTTTTTTTTTAACTGTATTTTGTTGGCCTTTGCTGGGTGGCTATCTTAACAGTACTTTTCATTTTGTGTTGTTGTTGTTAAGTCTCCTAATATTTGAATCAATCAAATCTTTCCTTACCTAGAGTGACAACTGCAGTGTGGTACTTGTTCTAATAGGAAAAGATTCTTTCCCAAGATCAGGTGAGGTAACTTTCTTTCCCTAACAAGCTACATCTATCAACCCGCAAAAGGAGAAATCAGTCACGTACAAAAGCTGAAAATCCTCACAACTAGTTTTTAAAAAAGAAAAAAGAAGTGAGAAGGAGGCTTGGCGGGGGCGGGGGGTGTTGCAAAACCACGCATGCTGTTCAGTGGCTAAATAAATTCCACCTGATCCGTGGACTATAAAGGACAGAACACATTACAATTTGCAGTGAAACCTGTGAGTGCCACTCATCAGGACGACCTTGTTTCCCTGCATCTCTCAAGCTTTCCACCTCTGACAGACGCAGTCTTACCACTTTTCTATCATCTGTTTTAGTTTCAAACATTTGAGCTTTCCTTTTCTGACAAGTTTCTGCTTGCCATGGTTCGGGCTGTTACAGGCGTCACTGCATACAGAATGCCCACCCCCACCCGCACGAAGCTGAAGAGAGTGGAAGGCATTTGCAAACACAGAGCCCAGCGCCATCCCTTTACACATGGGCCAGTAGCACATACAATTATGGGACCTTACCAAGAGAGCTGAGGAAAGATACAGCTTGAATATTTCATCCTTTTGGGGGAACCCTTCGCTAGAACAAGCAAAGTATCTCGTCATTTCACCTAAATTGTACAGAAATACATATGTTTTAGGTTAGCAGCAGAAGAATTTCTTTCAGAAGATCCATATATTTAAAAAACAAAGACAAAATATTTTTAAAAGAAAAAAAAATTATTTTATTTATTTTAAATTTTCTTTACTCTAGATAGGGAGCTCTGGTGGTATCGTGCCTAAGGCATTTGACTGCTAACCTGTGTTAGACTGGGTTCTCCAGAGAAACAAAACCAGTAAAGCTTAGAAGGCTAGCTGTTCAAACCCACCAGCCACTCCTCAGAAGGAAGACCAGGCAATCTACTTCAGTAGAGACACCCCAGGAAACCCAAGGAGGGATCGCTATGAGTTAGAACTCACCCCATGGCAGTGAGTTTGGTTTGTTTTATTCTATCGAAAGTTTAAATCTTCTACTTTCTTTCTTTCTTTTTTAAGATACACTGTCAGGACACTAAAGAGGAAGGTTTGGCTGAAGCACTAAGATAAAATATAACGCACACTGGACCATGATGCAAAATTTTCAAAAGTGGCTAAAAGTCAGTTCTTGGGTCTTAAACCCGTCACGTTCAGTGAACCATAAAAGGGTCAGGAGGTGGAGACTGGGGAAGATTTTCAGTTTTGACAGAGAGCTGCTGCAAAGAAGGTGGCCCCTCTGGCAAAAGGGGAGGAGGATCTTGTCTCCTTACTGGAGTCTGAGGAAAGAAGCTTTTGATGGGGCCACTCAGAAAGGTAAAATGTATGCCCAAGAGTTTGGGGCACAAACTCAGACTAAAAATCTCAATGACAAGAGATGATTTGTGGGGAGAACAGCAGATGTGCTGATAGGAATGGGACGATGTTTGGAGTTTTGCACAACCCAAGTTTGCTGGGGCAAAAGATGCGACAACGCTTGTTGTGGTCCAGATGTGGGCCACTTGTGAGGAAGAACTAGCAGAGGGTCACCTGAGGTTTTGTCCTCAAAGGTCTCTCGAGTGGCAATTAGCTTTCAGTAGAAAGTACTAGAAGAAACAGTTGGATTTTTAGGAACTGAGGAAGGAATAAATGACCAGTGAAAACAGAGCAGTGTGCCCTGTTAGAACTGCAGAAGAGTGACCCTAATAATGTAATGGGGGGGGGGCATGCACTGAAGGACTTGGGCAAGAGTCCAGGAGACCCGGAGGCCACTTCAGACATCTGCTGAATCCAAGAATGCTCCCCCCAGAATCAATTAAGGAAGAGCTATTCCACTCCCATGGACTTCTCCCTCCCTGCCCAGAACCTTGGAGCAGAAGAGTCAAACTCCAAAGTTAGCAAGATGGGGAGAAGGAACCTAAGCATTTTGGTGGGGAAAAGGAAGAGCTGATTTTAACCCTGTTTCCTAACGGCAAGTTTCCTACCCGCACAGAACAAACAAGAGGTAAGTTCTGACTGTTACATGGACTTGGACCTTTTCATTACAACAGTTGCAATATGAGGCTTTTATCATTTGAAATGACTGGAGGACTGTTACAATCACCTAATCATAACTCAAAAAGTCCTGGGGCCTGCTGAAATAGTCATTCAGGGAAAGAGGAAGAACTAGCTCCAAAGAGCAGATTTAAATGAGAGGTAAAAATCCATTTATTTTATAACTCCATACTGTGCATCCTATACATGAAACGTAACAGTTTCAGTGCTATTCTTAAGATCATATCTGTGCAAACACTGCATTGCCAGTGGCAGCAAACATTAGGCTATGGGTAAACTCATAGGCAAACTCAAAGATCAGGTGGGGCTAGGCGAACAGCACCAAGGATGGATTTGGCTGAATAGAGTCTTACATATGTACTTGTGCTACAAATATATCCCTATACAGTACAGAAGTAACAGAGGACAAGGTTGGAGTAGCTTCTCAAAGACAACCAAAGACCTCAAGGGAGAGAATCATGGGCCTGTGGCTTGGGACCATAGTGTTGGGGGACTGCAAGCTCAATTGGCACAACATAGTACATGAAAATCTGATTCTACATCCTACTTTGGTGAGTAGCAACTGGGGTCTTAAAAGCTTTTGAGTAGCCAAAAGATGCAACTATTAGTCTCCTCTCATCTGAAGCAAAGAAGAGTGAAGTAATTTGGAAACTATTAGTCCAAAGATCTGACGGACCACAAGGACCTTAGTCTTCACGACCCTGAGACCAGAAGAATTGGATGGTGCCCAGCTACCAATGCCAACCACTCAGAAAGGCATCAAAATTGGAGATCCTGGATAGAGTGGGAGGAAAAAATGTGGAACAAAATTCAAAAACACAAAAGTGACCAGAATTAGTGGTTGCATAGAGACTGGTGGAACATCCGAGACTATGGCCTTCGGACCTGGAAATAGACTCACTTCCACGGGCTGGCTCTCAGACCAACAGTAGAAAGACCTACAAGCAGAACACCCACCCCAGGGTGAGGCACCCACCTACCCTAGGGAGATGCACCCCTTGGATCAATCAGCCATGAGACACCAGAGGGGCAGCATTCACAGAGGGAAAGCTGGACAGACAGGAGAGCACAGATAAGAAGGGTGCCGGGAGGGAGCAGTCACAGGGAGGGGAGGGAAGGAGGGTTTTTTACGGTTGGGGATTGTAATCGGGCTGTGACACCAAATGTGTATGAACTGTTGAGAGTAAAACAAATCTTCTTTGTAAATTTGCACACAAACCACAATTAATTTTTTTTAAAGAAAAGAGCATATCTGTGCAAGTATCACAAATATGATTTAAAATCTCAATCAAGAGGTTACAATGTTAAACAGTTTTCCAAGTACTTTCAACCGACACAATCATTTTGCTGATACCTGCCAATGCTGCCAGATCTGCTTTGTTAAAGCTATGATTTTATTCTAAAGTCACAATTACTTCACGCCTTAAAAATCTTCACCAACACCCCATTGCCTAATGAATAAACTCCTTAAATGGGAGAGAAGCTAAGAGGAAGGAAAGTCTTTTGAATAACAGACTTGGGCCAGACGCTGGGTTTATAGTTTGTCTTACTAAATTCCTACAATGCCTTGTGAGCGTATATTTTTTCTCATATCTGAACACTTTAAACACTTGGACACCGAATTTTCTTACAGATAGAAATCTTCCCAAAGAAGAATTTCAGTGGGGTTTGAAATTGTTTGTTCAAAATGGGAAAACAGAAAAATGCAACTAATTGACATGCAGAAAAGATGGACGCTTACTACAAATTTTTCAGTGAAAACCTTTAGAAAATCGGTAGATGAGATTGAAAATGAGGAATCATGATGTGTATTTAGTTAAGTCAACACGTACTTCAATGTATTCATTGTTCTCACCAAAAATCTTGTAATTGGTAACAATTTAAAAAATTGGAGCAAAGAGTTTTGTGCTGTTAATAAGTATACTTCACAATAAGTTTAGAATAGTATTTCATCCCTTTTTATATCCTGTTTTTTTTTAATGTAGATTTGTAAGGTACATAATGCATCAATACAGGAGTACATGTATATAAATAAATGTGCAGATACTGTGGAAACAAGTTCAATATATTTTTACTAATAGAGTGCATTTCTAAAAAATCTGAAGACCTGATACAAACTCAGGTGGTGGTCTTCTGCCTGTTCCCTCTGCCCCTGGTTGTCCTCCCTGCCGTGCATTTTACACGATGCTGCCATGTTCATCTTCTTCAGCTGTAGCGGTGATATGTCATGGCTCTCCCCAACCATCCTCAGTGGCTTCCCAGTGAATATAGACTAAGCCCAAATTCCTTAGCTGGCCACGCAGGGATCTCTAGGATATGCTCCACTCTATTTTTCCAAAATACTTTACTTCCTTTATCCTCTCATTCTAGTCAAGCTGAGCTACTTACTGGCCCCCTCACATACTCTGATTTCCTACTTTAGCACTTGTTCACTTGCCTAAGATATTATGTCTTCATAGGACCAAACTGAAAAAAAAACAAACTAACTGCCTTTGTGTCTGTCCTGACTCATAGCGACCCCTCCCTTTGGGTTTCTGAGGTGGTATCTCTATGGAAGTACATTGCCCAACCTTCCTTCCAGTCTTCCCCATAGCTGCATATCCAACTGCTACCCATCTTGGGGGACCAACATTGACTGCTATCTTCTGTATGAAGTCTTCCTTGATCCTCTAGCTAGAAATATCCTCCTTTTTTTCTCTGAATTTCATAAATTTTTCTGTGTGTCTTGTATCTTATATTTACATATGTGTCATATATTCTGCAGTAGAACATAGGAACTGAAATTGGGGTCATCCCAGAACTCCTCCAATTCTGTAATAGACCTAGCAATAAAAGATGGCCTGAATCCATGTCTCCACCCAGTGAATGACTTTCTATTGAATGTCTACTATCCTCTAGGAGCCAGTCAAGGATGTTCCAGGACCTGAACAGTCTGTACAGATGGATATGAATTTGTTTAGTTCCTTTAACAAATTTTTCCACCATAAACACTTTTTTAAACAAATCTTATTGTGATTTGGGTGATTTATAAAGCAGATTTGCTTTACTCTCAGCAGTTCATGCACGTTTGGTTTCACACCCTGGTTACAATTCCCCACCATGAAAAACTCCTCCCATCTCTTCCCTGTGACTACCCCTTCTCTGCACCCATCATAAAGACTGTAAATCTTTACAGAAGTAGAGGGTCTCATCTTCCTCCTGCAGAGCAGCTGGTGGGTTTGAACCACCAACCTTGTGGTTGGAAGTTAAATGTTTAGGCACAGTGCCACCAGAGCTCCTTATAATCAGCAACACATTATCAATTTTTCAATGCATTGTCAATTTTGTAGCCACAGTAATAACTAATCAATTGCACCTATCATTAAGATGCAAATTTATTGTAAAAACTGTTACAGTATTGACAGACAGGCTTTCTAAAGAATTTGGAAATGCAAGTTGCACTATCCACTTGAAGCAGTATCTTTTTTTCTTTTTTAATTTTTGCTGTGATTTGGGTGAAAGTTTATAGAGCAAATTTATTTCCCACACAGCAGTTCACACACACTTTGTCTCATGACATTGACTGCAATTTCCCATAATGCAACAGCTCTCTTCCCATTTCCTCCCCATAGTTACTTCTTCCCTGTGTCCTTCCCACCCATGCACCCCTTCTACGTAGTATCTTGCAACTTAACTTTCAATTCACCATAAAGTCTTATTGGCTAATTTAATCTTTGTATTATTTTTCTGAAAATTCTCTTCAATCTCAATGTACTAGCCTTGTAATTCAGGGTACAAATCATACTACATGCAACCATTTGTGGTGGAAAGAATTAAGAGAAAACAGAAAGTTTAAAATGCGCTTTAAATATTCTGTGACTTAAACCAAAACCAAACAAAAAACAAACCCACTGTTTTCGAGTTGATCCTGACTCACAGCGACCCCCACTGGGTTTCTGAGGAGGTAAATCTTTATGAAAGTAGATTGCCCAGTCATTGCTAACTGTTCGGTTAGCAGTCAGATGCCTTAGGCACTGTGCTACCAGAGCCCCTCATTGTAGGACTTATAAGTGTTAAAATCCACAAGAGACAAATATCTATATACACACTGAATAAAAATAGGTTTACAATGATAATAATAGAAATATTAATAGTCCACAGTATAATAGATAATATCTAGGAATAAATTAAAAGATAAAGAAGTCCTAAAAGAAAACTATTTCAAGTGTAAATGAGGAAAGGATATAAATGAGAACTCCTGAGAAGGAACTAGAGCGAAGGAGTGACAATCTGAAACGTACCTTTATTATATAGTATTCCAGATGGAAAATCAAACATGTTCAAAAGCAAAATCACCACATATACAAGTGGAAATGCCATCTGTTGGAAGAAATAACAATGATTCCCTTTCAATTATCCTGAACTTATTTTTCAGTTTCTTTTGCTATAAACAACTACAAAATAGTAAAGAAATCCTCATTTCCTTTTAAGTTCAAAGTACTTCGCATCACGAACAAAACCAGACAACATAATAATTGACCAAGTTTTACACTTACTCCCTAATTGGTATTGAGGATCTTTATAAATTAAATTACTGCAAACTAGACAAAGAGCTATGGGTCAGGTATTTCCTCAGTGTAGGCAACTGTTGGAAAGGTCTGATCACTCATGTAGTAGTTCGGTGCAGCTGAGTCCATTTGGCTTATAGTGACCCTGTGCACAACAGAACGAAACACCAGCCAGTCCCGCGCCATCCTGGGAACCGCTGCCGGGCTTGAGCCCATCGTCACAGCCACCGCGCCAACCCGTCTTGTTGAAGGTCTGCCCCTTTTTCGCTGACCTTCTTCCTGCTTTATCCAGCTTAATATCCTTCTCCAGGGACTAGCCCCTTCTGACAACATGACCAGAGTATGAGAAATGAAGTCTTGTCATTCCTGCTTCTCAGGAGCATTCTTCAAGCAGTCTATGTGTTCTGGTTCCCTAGTGCCGCTCTGACAGGAATATACCACAAATGGGATGGCCTTAACAAACAGGAGTTTATTCTTACAGTTTGGAGGCTTTTAGTCCAAGTTCAAAGTGCCAGGCTCTAGGGGCTGGCTGAAAGCCCCTCAACCTTGGGGTCCAGCTCTGCCTCCTGCTCCCGGCCCACTGAAGCTAGAGGCTTTTCTTCACCCAGACAGCTGCTGGCTGCTCAGGCTGAGAAGCCCCAAGGTTGACAAGTAAAAAGGCACTGTTCCGATGTTACCACACCGCACGGCAGGCCATTAACTTAAGTCCATTGGAAGTCCCAAGGTCAGCAGAGTATAACAGGCTGCTGAGCAACCACACGACTACATGTAGGGTTCAAGGTGCCATAAGCTAGAGACTATCCCCAAGGCTTTTCCTTATATACAGGAAGCGGACCACATCCCAAAGGTAGCTACTCAGCTGCTTGTGCTAGATCCTACCATGGAGTTGATTGCCAGTCTCATCATGGGGAATAACTACCACCAGCTGCCCAGCCACTCAACCAGGCCCAGCCAAGTTGACACACAAACATAACTATCACACCATAGTACATTCAATGTTTTTGGCCAACATCACAATTCAAATGTGTCAATTCTTCTGCGGTCTTCCTTATTCGTTGTCCAGCTTTCACATGCATATGAAGTTATTGAAAATTCCATGGCTTGGGTCGGGCGCAGCCTAGTCTTCAACGTGACATTTTTTCTCTTTAACACTTTAAAGAGTTCTTTTGCAGCAGATTTGCCCAATGTAGTGTGTTGTTTCAATTTTTTATCTGTGTAAAACAGAACCTGACTTGACAAATACTTTGAGGCTGATACAGCTGTGACTAGACCTGGTAAGTTAACTGTGTTGCTTTTAGTAGAGACAATCCACATGCCCCTAGCGCCCTTGCATGTCCTTACTGGGCATTCCAGGCATGCCAGGCCCTGGGCACTCTTCAGCCAGGTTGTTGCTCACAGTTGTGCTTGCAGCAAGCAACACTGAGGGAGAAGGGACCTTCCTCCTGGACAAAAGCAGTCTGGTTTCCATGGTGAATATCCCAAGCTTAGTACTCCTCTTCTATAATGCAGCCCGCTCCATGTGTGGCTGCCTGTGATGGGTATTGTCTTCACGGGACATCCGGGGCATGGGGAACTGGAACGGGCATCCTACTAACACTCTGGCAGCTGCTGTTGCTGGAGAAATAAAGCCTGTCTCTGACCCAGGAGTTCTGTGTTTTTTGCCAACATCCAAAAGACAGTAATAGGCTAACTTGCCAGCTTATAAGAACAAAACCTCAGAGCCTGTGCAATTCTTGACAACTGACTAGTAAATTAAACTGATTGTTTTTTCTCCCTCAAATTTGACTTGCTTGGTTAAATACATTTGATTGACCATAGAAAGCTCAAACAATTGTGGAATTTTTAAATTCATCACCCTCATGACACTATGAGGGGAGAATTATTCTGGTTAGTGCATCTTTAGTCATCTGAGAAAACAACTTGTTTTTACAAAGTAAGAGGAAAGCAGTAACATAAAAACTACACCAACCTGATGCCATGTTCAATTCTATTTTTGATGTAAGAATGAATTTAACATTAAATGGAGAAGTTATCGAAAATATGAAGAGCCCTCCCTTTTTCCTCAAATTCATTTATAAGAGTAGATGAGCTGAGGGGCATGTCAAAGCCATTTTAAGCATTTTCCCTGGAGATGAGTTTCTCTCCACTTAATCTATTCACTATCTTTGTCAGTCAACAAGTGTCTCTGACTGTTAAGTTCATCAGTTTTAGAGCACATATTAATGTTGGTCCTTCATCTAATAGTAAAATTTTGAAAATAGGGCAGTTCCCAAGAAAATCTTATACTACTTTCCTAACATTTACATTAAAGGACATAATACCATTGTCAGAAACCATCAGAGTTTTCTTCATTCATGAATAGTTGGCTTAAATGTAGTATGCTCCAAATCAAATATAAGCTTTCATTGTAATTGAGCAGTGTATCGATCTTTGACCAAGAAACTAAAAGCTTACTTTGAAAGGCTTTACAATGCTTTCAATCAGGAAAGGGAACATGAGAGAACATAACTCAAAGGAGAGACAATCAAGAAGTGATCTATGGCTTTGTTACTAACTGCATGTCCCCTTCCTCTTATAATCTGGCTTATACTTTCTTCAAACAAACAAAGAAAGAAAGAAACTTAGAGATAGAATTTACCTTAGAGTTGATATATGGGACAGTCAAATAACATGCTCAAAATGCTGACAGAGCTGGGATTAGAACCAAGGTGTCCTGATCCCGAAGATCTAGTTAACGTATTCCAAAGATGCCATAAAATAAAATTTAAAAAATTCAAAGATATTAAGGCCCTGGTTATATTTGACAACCACCAAAACTGCTGAATTTCTACTCCATATGTACATTAATCATTCTTGTCATTTTTCCTTCACTATTGTAACTTTTCTAATTTGGTGCTACCTTCTCTCAGCAGTCATCCCATGGTTAAAGAAAAGGCCTGGGTTCCAACCTCAGCTCTGCCATTCAGAGATTTGATCTTTGGCAAGTTACTTAACTTCATTTTCTACTCAGTAAAATAGGATAATAGCCACTTCACAGGGCTGTTGTGAGAATTAAATGAGTAAGCTACTTAAAACATCTGAAGTTACTTTATACAGAATAAGCACTTGATACTTAGCCCAGAATCCATTTCTTCAGACAGTGCAACAGCTTCTTTGTCCTCATCACGCTCCCCCATCTACCCTCTAAGCAGTTATATCCCCCCGGCTAAGATCCTCATTGAAATTATGTTGAGTTCCATATG